ACATATATACCATGGAATATTACTCAGCATTCAAAAAAGATAAACACATGCAATTTGCAGCAACATGGATGGCACTGGAAGGGATCATGCTCAGCGAAATAAGCCAAAAAGAAAAAGAAAAATACCGGATGGTCTCACTCATAGCAGGAATCTAGAAAACTTAAATAAGGGACCAGGAAAATGAATATAAGAAAGTGAAAATCAAAATCAACAAAAAACTATGAACCAGAGACACTTTTGGGGGGTGGGGGGCGGGAGGGGAAGGATTGGGGTCAGAATGGGGCGTTTGCAATTGTATGGGGGAATATAAAAATAAAATTTAATATTAAAAAAAAAAAAAAAAAACTGGGACCTTGAAAAGGATTTAAATTTTCTAAGACTTGGTTTTCCCACCTTAAAAATGGCAGCAATGAAAGTTTCCACCTAATTGGGTTATTTTGAGAATTAATGGAGATAAATTGCAGAAATTGATCATCACTTTGTCTAGCACATAGCACTAATAAATATTAGCTTTTTATTGAAAAATACTTAATGTGAGTCACCTTATAATAAAGAGAATCTGGAATCTAACTATATCATGAGAAATGCAAGACATTTCAAGAATTCAATATTTTAGAATTAGCAGCACATTGTTGATTCCATCCCTTTACACCAGTTGTGAAATACCAGAGGTTCATAAGAGGCATGTGAAAACACTACCTGTAAAACAGAGTGGGTTCTCAGTGAATATTGGTGAATATTTGTAATATGAATTTTAGCATAGGACTAGGAGGTGGCCCAGGGTCCTCAAACTTTTAAGGGGCATGTGTATCAAAAGGAATCCAGCCATGTGAGCTCACAAAGGCAAATAAAGCAGACTTGCACACTGAAAGAATTGGTGTGCAGAAAGAGAGGAGAAGAAGAAAGGATTCAAATTACTGTAAACTCTAAAAATGATGCATCCTCTTGTGGGCAAAGGCCCAGTCAAACAAGTTGTGCATGAACCAGGGTCTGAGGCCCAAAAGTTTGCCACAAATCTAAGGTCACTTCTGACAAGGAACCACAAGGAAGGGGTTAGGCAGGTCCCAGAAAGGTGAGACAGAAAGAGAGAAAGAAAATGCAAAATACCCCAAATAATCAAATTGAAGCCAAGATAACAGCTGCCATTGTCTCTGCCAAGGACTAGGGGCAGCCCCCACATGTCTCTCACTCATGTCTCTTTTCCAAGCCTCTCTTCCAAGTATCTCTACTTCTCTCTCCTCTATCCTTCTCCTTCCATGTGTCTCCACCAAATGTCTCCTTCAGCAGTACAAGGGGATAAGTCGAAGCCAGAAAAACAAGAAAGAGTGCCCGCCTGCCTTCCATGTTACATAGCTCCACCTGGCTGCTCAGCTCCTCTCCTAGTTCCCAGTCACTGCCCTGCTCAGGAAGTCCATTCCATGGCATGCTGGGACTTATAGTAGCAGAAGGCAGTGAGGGCAGGGAAAACAGAGCACCTGTAACATGAAAAGATGGGAGGAACTGAATGTGTGAGAGATTGTCTAGTTAAGTTGTTCTCGACCACAGATGACTTTTTTCCCTTGGGGTTATTTGACAATATCTGGGGACTCTGGTTGTCACCACAATGAGGATGTTATCAGCGTCTAATGGGTAGAGGCCAGGGATGCTATAAAACATCTACCACCCCCAGGACAGTCCCCCCACAAAGAATGATCTAGAGAAGAGCTTGAGAAACCCTAATCTGGTTCATTGGTCTTAAAACTCTGCTCCTCCACAGAGAAAGATGTGTGTGTGTTTGCATGTGTGTGTGTGTGTCTGTGTAAAGTGTTTTGAGGTAAGCCTGCCCAAAATTTAGCTTTAGCTAAATTTAGCTTAGTTTGATCTAAGGACCACTCTGTATGTCTACTTTGCCCTTTAAGTTCTTAAGGGATTTACACCCATCTCACTCTGGGAAAGGTGGCACTATAATGAGGTAAATTGCAATTCCCCATGGGAGTCACATTTCTGAAAGACTACAATTTCTGAAAGTCTTCTGAAAGACTTGCTTGGTGCTAATATAAGGGAACCACAACATCAGAACTTCAAGTTGTTAAGGGTCCTTTTGACTTGGAAAACAGGAAATTGCATTATTAAAAGATAATTTGGCCATGAAGCATTTTCCACAGGGACTAGTTTAATAATAAAAGGATTTAATTTTGTGAATATTCTCTTTAGTGATTGGAGATTTTCAAACAAGCCAACAGAAAGACGACAGTAATTGGTTGTCTATTGGTCTCTATTGCCACATGGCAGTCTGGAAATGTGTCGGTGAATTAAATGTTAATCTGTGGATTAACTAAATAAATAATAAATTAGAAAAAATTTTATTAGAAAAATTTAATAACTAGCCTGGAAGTTCATCCATGCAAAACCTACATTACCAAGTCATGGGGCTGATTCAAATACAATGCTAACTGTATTTCATTCCTGCTTGCATTTCTATGGCAAGGTCATCTTGTTTGCAAGATGATCTTTGCTTTCTTCCTGTCATGGCACAAAACAAGTGCACCCCCAACCCTAGGGACCTCTGCCCCCTCCCCACCTCTCCATCTACCCACACTCTCTCGTACATTTTCTAGAGGTCTTATTATTTTTAAAAGTTCATTGAGTTTTAAAAGTTTCTGTGCAATAAGAGGCACAGATCTTAATTGTATAGTCTAATGACTTTTGACAACTGTATACTATCACTCAAATCAAGATACAGACTCAGTAAAGACACTCCCACTCTCTGCAACTAGAGGCAATCGCAGTTTGGATTTCTATCATCATCAGTTGGTTTTACCTGATCTGGAATCTCACATAAATGGGCTCATACATTATGTCCTCATCAAAAATGCTGGCTTTTTTGCTCAAAATTTATGCCTGAGACAATCAAATATGTCACTGCCTACTTGTTCTTTGCTTTTTAGTAGTATTCTATTATATTGTATACTGTTATAAATAATGCTAGCGTAAATATTCTTATATAAAACTTTTCATATGTTTTTATTGGGGAATTTATATAGGAGTAAAATTAGTGGGTCATAATGGAATGTGAGTTTATTCTGAACTTGTAGGTTGATGGTCTAGCCTAACTCTTGACCATACTCCAGGACCTGATTTGGATCTTACATAACAAGCCTTCCCTGAGCCGTAGAGAAATTCACCAGGTTCTCACTGCTAGGGGCACCTTATCCTGCTACAGGAATCTGATGCAATGACATTTTCCTAGTCTCTCTTCCTTCTAGTCGCTAACACCCATGGGCTAAGTATTATGTCTGTGTGGTCACTACTGGTCATTATTTCTGCTTCACTTACCACTGAGCACTGGCCCCTGCATGCTGAATGTTCCATTAACATCTGCTTGATAGAAGAGCGGACTGAGCTAGGGAGATGGGAGATTGTATAGAATCAAGTATGGGGGACACTTCTCTGGGGAGGGGGGAGTGCCATAGTTTACCAACCCCTGCTCTAAATTAGCTGCTTTCATTTCATTTCCCTGCTCTAAATTAGCTGCTTTCATTTCATTTCCCTGCTCTAAATTAGCTGCTTTCATTTCTTACAGCTCAAGAAACTGGGATTGGGGCATAACTCAAATCACATGAGAACTAACTGAGCCCTGTTATGTACAATTTCAAAGTCTGTGTCTTTTCTACTGTGATTCTCCATTGACTATAAGAAAAATCCTTGACTTCCCAGGCTGGTGACCAGGCTGTCTGCATAGGGGCTCACCTTGGTCTTTGTCGTTTTCCCTCCTGCTCCCTCCCACAAGACCCCAGCTCTGACCTTTTGACAGAAAGACTGTTCACACATCCCACCCCATATTGCCATCTGACTCGGATTTATGTTTCACAATTACAACAGCAGTTGTGTTGCTTTGGGTGATAGTGATGGAATACCCAATTTAAAACTGTTTAAACAATAAAAACACTGCTCTAGACCAGCTCTGTCCATTAGAACTTTCTGAGATGAAAATGTTCTTTAATCATAGTGTCCAGTTTGGCAGCCACTCAGTTCATCTTGGGGTGCAAGGGAAGAGAGGCAACAAGAAAGTGGAGTTCAACCCCCGGCAACATTTTCGAGCCCTTCCTGTGGATAGAGGTGTGTGTGAGCCACGCAACCAGGAAGACTGAAATAAGCAGGTCTGTGTGTGTTCCATGGTGCTGAAGCAACCATGTTCATATTGTATTCTGACTTCACTTCCAAACACGTCAACAAACTAAAAACATTAACATATTTCACTGTGTCATTTAATAATCAGCCTGTGGGTGTATTGTTATGTCATTGGTAGGATTAGGGACAGATGTTTAGGGGAGAGACAAGGAAGGAAAAGCATCTGAAATTCTGAAATACTTCTTTTGCACAAACCCTCCCCTCCTACCTGGTTGAAGGGCTTCTCCTGGCTTTGCCAAATGTTTCCATGTGAAGGTATAATGAATTTTTAAATAATGAGTCTGGGACTTCTGCTTGGCATTTGGCTGCAAAATCGAATTGAATAAAACATTCAATTGAGTTTCTTAGCCTTCAAGTTGCTAAGGACTAAGTTGCCATTTGTGAAGGCCATTTCATTTCACCTCCCCAGGATAGCAGCTTGGGAGATGTTTCTCGAAACCACTGGAGCTCTCTCATCATGCCTACAGACATTTCTGGATTTCAGTGTCCCCCCACATTGACATGGCAAATTTGATGCACAAGTTAAGATGAAAATCGTTCTTATTTTTTTCACCCTTCATGTTTACAGGAAGGCAAGGGTGGTTTGGGGACAATTAGGTTACGAGTGCTCCTGGGAGATGGAAGCAACCAGAGACTGTCCTCCTCAGAATGGTAAATGCAAAAAACAGCAGGATTGTCTGTTGGCCCAATAATATCAAATCTAAAAAAATCTATAGCATTTTAAAAAAACAAGAGACAAGAACATCCTTGACTTGGTAACATTTATTCAATATTCTTTGAAATTAGCAAGAATCGGAAGAAGCACATCAATCAAATACAGCCACAAAAATGTCCTGGATATAAATAAAGATGCACTAGGGTAATACTCAGTACTGAAGGAACCAGCACGCTGGTACACTTACTAATTCTTAGCAACAAACAACTCCAACGTAAAGTTAATTTACTCACAATATAAAACCCCGGACTTCTTAAAGAAAATAGAGATTCAGTTCGATCACCATTTGCGTCACGAGGCCCATTCGTGATGGATGTTTGCGAGGCCCGGTTTGATGACTGTCACAAAAATGACAAAAAAACAAACTTAAAGGAATGTTTCCGCGAGGTTCCACCAAACGGTGCAGAAATAAGTTACTCACCCATGCACGGGATAAGGCAGAGGCTAATTTCATTCGGGTTAGGAATAATAAATTAAACTAGCTTCTTTTTCACAAAACAGACATTTCAGACTCCTGGTGAAGTCACAGGTATACTGATTAGGCGTCGTAGTCTACAAGCATCTCCTACCTCTACTCGGAAAGCTGCACTCACAGGCCACATGGGAGCTTCGCCTTGGTTAGACTCGCGTCACAACCCCAGACATGAACCTGGTCTCGTGTCTACCGCGGAGAGACCACACACTAGCTGAAGCGGACGGTTTAGAGAGCTGGGAGGACATGAAAACGTTGTCTACGGATTTCACAAATTCCGTTTTTAAAATATTTTTTTCAAACTAAAAGCTGCAGAAAATTAGTTCTTAAATATTCTACCGAAAACTCTTGAGCAGCTAACGTTTTAAATTTCTTAAGCTCTTTATTTTCTTAAAAATATTGAAATGAGTGTAGGACCCCCATCGTTTTGAAAAATAATCCCCAAAAAGATTACAAATCTTTTGTTTTAATCAGTGTGACCAACGGTTTGTCGTCGGGGCTGTAATCCTCGTAGGCGATGGGGGTCACGTCGTACATGGCCGGCCGGGATTTCTTTCCAAACCTGAAATGACAGGGGGAGAGGGGTCTGTTAGATAAATCCTGGGTGGCAGACTTACAAAAGGCAGGCGGTGAGAATGTCTTCTATTCAAGAATCAAATGGAACTATAAAAATACGCTAAAAAAAATATATTCTCTAGCAAGGGCAGAAATTTAAGCCCTCCGATGTTAGCATTGAAAGAGTATAAATATTAGTCTTCAGTGCAGGAGGCAAAAAAATGGATTTCACAAAACACAGAGCCCAAATTAATGTGGCAGCTTGTAGGTTAAATCTTGGCAAAGCAGTCGAGCGTGACAGCTCTACAATAGGTTTTAAGAAAACGTGTATGGATTTGTCTTTTCCTTCTGAGACCCATAACTGTTTGGAGAGACAAGTTTATTTTACATCCACTCTGTTGTGTGGAATACAGAGTGGCAGGGGGTCTTTCTGGACTGGAGACGGATACATCTCCTTCAGAACCTTCTAGAGGACGGTGCAGGCTCAGGGGTCATCTGAGGGATGGAGGGCGGAGACAACCTCCTCGAAAGGGTGTTTGTCCAGACTGTGCCAGCACCCACCCTTGGAGCCCCCCTTCCACCACCCCCACCACCCCCGATGTGCACACACATCATTGTTTTTCCTCTGAGCACAAAGCCACTGTCCCAGCAGATTGGTATATATCAAAATCCTCTCAGCGGCAGAACGGATGGCCTAAAGCCAGTGGTGTCAGAATCCCACTTCAGGTCCTCCTGCCAAACCAGTCTTAAAATGGCAATTATTAAAATAAAGCCAATTCAACTTCTGGGTGGTCTCTTCCCATTCAAGACCTCACCTTCCCTAGAGCCCTGGAGTGCAAAATGATTTAAACAATCTCCCACACGTAACGGCTGTGCCTCTCCGCCGCCTGATAGACAACGTTTTCAATAGTTTCAAGTCCAAAGAAAAAATAAATTTTAAAATGGATTTAAAAAATTTTAAAAGGCTGCTGAGATGGGTCCCTAGCACAAAAAGGGGTTTATTTACCATGACTCCTACCCCACGCCCCCCCATTTTCTCTGTCTTTTGCTGTCTGTGAAAGTCTGTCTCCTCAGAGCAATGACAAGTGGAATTTAGTGGGGAACAGGAAAACTTCACATTCTTCATTAGATTTTTTATATTTAAACATTCCTCGAGCTCTGTTCCAATTCGCTCAAGGTTTATTAGCCCGCAGGAGCCCAAAGGCACAAACCTCACCCACTGGGAGGGCACCAGTCAAAACGCAGAGACCCTCTACTACTAACACAATTATTAAAAGCTTCAGGAACGCCATCGGAAAGGAAACAACCCTCCTACACTGTTGAGGGGAGGTAGACTGACCCAACCGCTATGAAACATGGCGTGTGTTTGGTGGGGAGGGTGTCTCAAAATATTAAAAATAGATGTACCATATGATCGAGTGATCCCACTCTTAGGTATCTACCCAAGGAGTGAAAAAAAACACTTATCTGCAGGGCTCAGTGCCCTCCTACGTTCACTGCAGCACTATTTATAATAGCCGAGTCATGGAGACAACCTATGTGCCCAAGGATGATTAGTGGATTCAGATGCAGTCTATACACACAATGGAATACTATTCAGCTATAAAAAATGATGAACTCTTGCCATTTGCAACATGGATGAAAGTGGAGGGGAAGATGCTAAGCAAAATAAATCTGAAGGAGAAAGACAAATGGTGGATGATGCCATTTATATGTGGAATACAGAGAAACAAAACAAAGGAACAGACAAAACTAAATCAAACAAGCCATAGAAATATGACTGCGGAATTCAAGCTACCAGACGGGAGTGAGGGAGCTGGGAGCAAATGGAGGAGTGGCCCAACGGGCTGCAGTGGAGGACTCAGGGTGCTTTGGTGGTGGGTGTGGCAAGGTGACATTCATCTGAAGACATGTGAAGCTCCATCCCTAAATGATATCTGGTGCTGTAAACCAATGTCACCCCAATAAAAAGTAGAAAGGAGCCTCCCCTGGTGGCGCAGTGGTTGAGCGCTGGGCTGTAAGGCTTCCCGCAGCCTCTGCAGCACCGGTTCGTTCACCTGTTGCAGGCGAGGGTCCCACAAAAAATGAATGAATGAATGAATAATAAATAATTAAATAAATAGTAGTACAAAAAAGATGATGTGCAGGTTTGGTGAAGGTCCAGGACTGTGCATAAATGTGGTGGGACCCCAGCAAGGGGTGCCTTTCTCTAATTGAGTGAGGTTGGCATAATCTGAGACTGGGAAAAGGGGTTAACAGTGTAAAAGCCAACTGATTCTTGCACTTTCTCACAACTCTGAACCTTCCCAAGGCCACTTTAAAGTGCAAATAAATATTCTGATGCTCTATTTCTAATAAAATAGCTAACATAGTAACAATATACCACTGACAATATCAAGTCACTTAAATGGATTAATATTTGAAATCTGGCCATCCCAGTGAAAAATTCTCTTCATCCTCACAGTGGCCATGGGGGGCAGTTTCTTGTGGGAAGCTGAGGCCACTGTCACAGAACCAGGGATCGCCAATCTCAACCATGGGCAGCTGAGAGGAAAATCCAAGCAGCTGAATAGATGATTAAAATGCCCATTTGATTTTTCATAGGTTTTCACAGTTGAAAGAGGAATCTGCTTCTCCAAATCTAGACAGTTAGGTGTCTCCGTTCAAAGGGCTATAAGGACCGGTTGCCCTGGGGCTGAACTGCACGCTGGCAAGAGGTGTTTGGGAGTGACAGTCTCGGGTACACTGAGCAAAACAAGGCAAGGACTGACCCACATGTCCACACCACATGGGCAACGTCCACCAGAGAACAAGGGGTGTGGCTTCAGATTGGTTGGTGCTGTGAGGTCAACTCCAAACCAGCCTGGGTTCCAAAGTATAACACTGATGACAAAGTCCCATGGTTAAAACAGGACAATGTCCCCACCACTCTTCTGGAAAACCCCTGCGTGATGACTTAACTACTGGCCAAGAAGCCTGTCCAAATTCCTCAGGTGAGACATAGAGGTCTCCACTCAACGTGCAAGGATTGACTATATGCAAACTCAGATGGCTTCATTCACAGAAACACAGCTGGGGAGTACACACACACACACAAACACACACCAAACCAGACAAGACTCTCCTTGAACCTCCCAGCCCCATTAAGTGGGGAGCTCACACCTGGTGAGAAGGGGAGATGTATCAATCCTTAGATTTATGACATCGACATCTTTTTCTGTCTCCTTTGATTCTCAGGATTGGGTGGGCGTGAAGAGACAGGCTAACACCTCTGAGACTCCACCTTAACCTCTCAGGCACGAAACTGTAAAGGCAGAGTTTTTATGGCATTGTTCTTTTTCTCAATTACCATGCTGCCTTCCCTTACCATAACACGATTTGATTGTTAAAAAATAATTGGAAGCTAGAAAAAAATTACTGTGTAGACCAGGGGTTAGAAAACTACAACTGACTATAAACTAAACCAATTATAGCCTGTTTTTAAAATAAAGTTGTATTGGAACAGTCTCGCCCATTCATAAAGGTCTCACACCACAAAAGCAGAGTTGAGTAGTTAGGACTGAGACCCAGAGACTGACCTAAAGTCTACATATCTTGCAGGCCCTTGGTGAGGACTATAGGCACCCACAGGGCCTCTCTCTCAAGGGTGTAGCTACAGAGCAGGTCAGAGAAGCACTGGCCAGTTGGGGCAGCAGCAGAGCCCCTGTCACTGGCATCTCAAACATCATGGATGATGGCAAGTTGTGGGCACCTTATCCCACTGGAGAAACCAAACACAAGGCACATCAAAGAGTGGACATTCTTCTGGTTCACAGTCTTCTGAAAGTCAACAGCTCAAATAGCACCGCAGAGAATGGCAGGTGGTTCTGACCCTGAGAAAAGTCCAAACGGGGAGATGCTATTTGAGACAAAGCGTGTCCTTTCACACCTCACCCCTTTTGCCTCCTGGGACCAGGCACTCAAAGCCGAGCAGCGGAGATTAAACCTGGACTCCAGGAACTGGAAAGTCCTGGCTTCCCTCCTGCTGCTTCAAGGCAAACCTGGAGCAGGTGACTCAGGATGAAAGGCGGCTGCCGTGTAACCTAGACGCAGCAGCCCCCACTGCCAACAGCAGGGCCACCAGACACTTCCCAGTGGCTGTGACTGTCACAGATGACCCCTGGGTATACACCCGTGTGGCCACTGGGCTGCACTCATTCAGAGCCAATGTCGCTGTCAGGGGAGCAGCGGGGAGACAGACTATGAAAGTGACTTTTGCTACAGGCTGCGCTGACAACTACAGAGAGGGTGATGCCATGCCAAGTTTTTAACAAGACTGTCCAGGCTTTCCAGGAAAAGGGAGTCAAAGGGGCTCTGCAGCCAGAGACCCAGCCAGGGCCTCCAGAGCCTTGCTGTCGAAATCACAGCACAGCTCAGTAGACATTTCAAAGGGAGTGTTCCCAGATATTTGGGGAGGCCTTGTATTATCTTCAGTGGTTTTATGCGCAGTTGCTGGTGCGTGCAGAGCTTGGGTAGGAATTCTGCAGTGCAGATTTGTGATAAAATCGGCACCAAATGAGAACCAGGTTTGTAAAGGCTTTCAAGTTTATCCTTTCATTCCAAGAGTATTCAGTTAAATATCTTCCCAGTGGTCTATATAAGCAGGAGGCTCAGAAGAATCCACCTTCAACTCTTTGGAGACTGAAATAAAATTCCTCTTGAATGCAATAGACTGTACCAGAGACTCCTCTGGGCGTTAGAGGGAATCCGGTTCCCAGGGACTCCTACTCTACCCAGTATTTAGAGTCACAGGTTCTACCCACTGCTGGTGAATGAAGTCCCTCCAGGCATTGGGAGGAGAGACAATTTCTGAGCAGCAAAGGAACTTATCTTTTTTTAACCTTCTTGCCACCCCAACCAGTGACTTCAGGATACTGCAAACACTCCTGCAAGCTGGTACCCTTTAATAAGCAGGGGCACTGGAAAGAATCTGCCTCTCAGGTCAAAATATCCTATGCCAACCCCTAACCATGATCAGCCATTTATTTCAGACCTCATATTGTGGTAAGTCCATGACAGGCCAGGATCTATTAACAACATCAAATTGAAAGCGATGGCCTGTATGTGCAGGTGAGGGGGAGCGAGAGTCTAAATCCCACCAACAGACTCAGCTTCTATGCTATTCACACAGAATTTGTGGGTCCTTATGTCTCAATCAAACTAATATACAGCACCCCGATAAAGATAAAGCTGCTAATACTTTCCTTGAGCCTCTGTTAAGACACCCAGATCAGCCCACTTTTTACCCAGCATACTGACCTCCTGAATTGTGCAATTAAATTGTTCCACCAACGAAAGGAAAAGATAGAATGCTTAGCTCAATGCTGCTTTTATTTTTATAATAAATATTCTTTGCAAAATTCTACAAAATGTTAGATTAACTGAATTTCTTGGTGTTGTAGTAGATCTGGAGAAGTAAATACGGTGCTATCTCTTTATACACCATTTTAGTATTTTTAATTTAATTTGCTTGTCATTACTCCCTAAGGAGGTCACTATCTTGCTCTGCAGTTGAGGGAACTGTATTGTAGGAGGTTAAATACAGTCAGGTAACCGAGTCGTTGATCTCAATGACATATGTCAGATGCTGAACACACAATACTTTCTATGATGTCACACTAACTCCTTGTCTCTTGGGGAGGATTTTCTCCAGGAAAAGGACACTGTTTTATATACTATGAGCTCAATGAGCAGAGTGATCGCTGTTTGTTATGCCTTTACTAAGCCCTTAAATCAAGTGGAATAATTGATATCCATGCTGATGATTTGAAGAGCAACTCAGCTAAACACATTCCAAAAAAATCATCAAAACATGTTTCATATACAAGGATTAAGAATCAAATATTCATAGCACAGATAAATACAATTAAATGAATAGATATAGTCAACGAGAAAAAGAGAGAGCAGCAAATTAAAAGGGATTTGCTTATAAAGTGACTGAATTATCTGTTGCCCAATAGCTCCTTGAACCTGTGTTTGATTCCTTGAAATCCTCTCTGCAGATGTAAAGTCCTGTTTATAATAGTACCAAGAATGCTCATGTGAAGCAGAATGTCCCTTCTCCCCCCCTCCCCCTCTTCCCGCTGCCCACCTGGCATGCCGGATGGAAGCGATGGCATTGCTAAACTCGCTGTCGATGCTGCGGCAGTTGTAGAATTCCTCGTAGGCCGGCCTGGACGAGCCCTGGTACTCGATGCGGCTGATGCGGCAAATCCCCACAATGAGGATGATGAGCATCAGGATGAAGGCGACGCAGAGAGCCCCGATGATGATGTAGAGGGAGTGCCGGGGCATGTTGGTGAGACTCTCCGCCATGTGCCCGGACTTCCACTGGAGGTCTGAAGAAGAGAAGCAAGTGGTTGGATGTAGATTGTGGCTTCAGAACCGAAAGTTCTTTCCTGTCCTTGCACAGGTATTTGAAATTAAGGGCTGTTGAACCTGGGAAGAATTACTGTCTACGCATCATCCAGATGAAGGGGTATTTCCTTAATCCATAAGGACCTCTTACACAGTATTAAAAAATATATATATACAAGCCATAGGAAACTAGACAAGGGGTATAAAAAGTAATTCACCAAAGAAATCCAAGTGAAAAACTGTTTAACTTCACAATTATTTTGAAAAATGCAATTCCCCTATCAGTTTCCAAATAGTATTTAAAAATTTTGATAACCACAATTGACAAGAGGACAGAAATGTGGACCATGTAAATTAACACACCGCCCTTGTATGGACTGAATAATATAAACTACAAACTCCAGTTTTTAGAACATATGTTGGGGAAATAGTCCTATAGATATATAAAGTCCAAAGTGCCAGGGTGTTCATCACAGCATCACAATTTTTAAATGTTAAAATATCAACTAGTACACATGTGGAAAAGGATTCAGAAACTTAGCATAGACACCCATGTGCTGACTACTCAGAGTTAATAAATGTCTGTATGTGACCACTTGTGTTTCAAATTTTTTCACGAGTTTTTTAAATAAATAAAATGTTACAGGGCCCCCCTGGTGGTGCAAGGGGTTAAGACACAACCTATGAAGCTCCCCACAGCCAGTGCAGCACAAGTTCCATACAAGGTCAGGGAGCTACCCACACGGTGCAGCAGACCTCTCCTGTCTCGCCCGCTGCTCCCCTCAGCAGTGTGTTTCAGTCAGTCTGCCTGTTCTGTGCCCCACTCTGTCTCTGGTGAATCCTCTCATCCCCCACACCTCTGGCCTGTACCCCAGTTCTTGTATGCATAAATAAATCTTTTTTAAAAATAAAATGTTACAGACATTTTGACCTTGACAAAAGATTACATAATTGATGAAATTGAAAAAATGGGAAACAACATAAATATTCAACTCTTAGTGAGATGAAGAGATGCTATTCATCAAATAGCAATGGAATAAAAGTAGGTTACCAAGCAGGACTAGTTTTATAGGACAACTGCATGTGAGCTCTAAGTCTGTCTACACAATGAAAAGGTGGAAAGGATAATAATGATGGCATTTGTTTTCTTACTATTCTAAGCTTTTAAAACCCATCTCATGGGGGTCTCCCCTGGTGGCACAGTGGTTGAGTGCTAGGTTGTGAAGCTGCCCGCAGCCTCTGCAGTGCCGGTTTGATCCCCTGCCGCCGGGTGAGTGTCCCACATGGTGCGCAGACCTCTCTTGCTGCGCCTGCTGCTCCCCTCAGCAGTGGTGTACTTCAATCCTTCTGCCTGTTCTGCTCCCTGCTCTGGCTCTGGTGAATTCTCTCACCCTCCTGCGCTTCTGACTGTACCCAGTGCTTGTATAAATAAATAAATAAATCTTTAAAAAAAAATAAAATAAAACCCATCTCATTCAATCATTGCAGGCACCAGAAAATATATTATTTTCTTTTCCCACTTTACAGATAAATTCTAGGAAACTGATGTCATTTGTTAGATGGGTTTATCGAATGCAAGTCTAGGTCCAAGTCCTTAGCCTCTGCCTCTTACAGGACTGTGCTCATAACAGTGACCTATGGAAGGAACAATTACAAGTATTTTTATTTCTTCCTTTAAATTTCATAGTCTTTTCCAGATATTTTCAAAAATAGGGTGCATAGCTTTCATAATAATGATAATAAAACATGGGCAATACATTATTAAAAATTAAAAAATGGAATTATCCTCCAACATAATTAGTGGAGGAAGGAATGTGGATCTTGGGATCACACCAACCTTGCTTTCAATCCCATTTGCAACATTTATTCAACCTCCCTAAGCCTTATTTTCTTGATATTTAAGATGAAAATAGCAACATATACCCCATGAGGTTGCTGTGAGCACGAGAAAAAAAAAAAGGATGGTAAGAAAATCTACTGCCTCAGTGGGTGGCCCCTGAGGAGGGGAAGTCACAGTGGCAGAGGAGGGAAGGATAAAAAGGAAGTGAATATTGTCCTTAGAGGCTGGTGCTCCAAGCTAAGGGTCACTCAGCAGTCCCTGTGCCCTTCCAAAATGCATCCACTTGTATGAGAATGAAAGAAAACAGAAAATGGAACATAATCTCAGTCTGTCCAGGTCAACAGTATCAAATCATGTCCCGTTTACAGACCTGTGCTCAATGGTATGGTCTGGAAAACAAGAACACGATAGAAAAGAAAGCTGTGGAACTTTTTTCAAGAGAGTGTAGATAAGACCAAAGGCAAGCTAAGCTCATTTGGAAACAAGATGCCGTCTCTTTTCACACCACCATCTCCTCTTCCAGGCCATCACCTCCACATGAGATTCTGGGGGAATGAGAGGGCCAGTCTTCCCATGAAATTGTGAGGACCCTTCTTATTGTTCCATTTCAGGTGGGAGCCTTTGCAATCTCATCATAGCTACATCCTCGGTGATTGTGGAAGCCCAGAAAGAGCTTTCCTTTATCTTGAAAGGATACAACCTAAAGAAGCTCCCAAGTAGACTCCCAAACAAGGAACCAAGGGTGCAGACCCCTTTCCTGTTTACCCAGTGGAAGAAGGACCCACGCGCTGAGCCTGGATGGTTCCTGAAACTTAGACAAAAAGGAGATGAATGAAGTTGCTGCTGAGCTTGTGCACAGATCGGCTGACTCCTGAGTCTTTTACCAAGACCCCTGAAATCTGTTTTTGCCATTTGAGTTCACCTGTCTGAACTCACAAAACCCAGAGCACTAAGACTGACATTTAGTACATTCACTGCTCCCTCTGAACTAACTCACATCCAGGAAGCTGAGTGACATAAATCACCACAAAAATGGTTGTGATGGAAGGGAGAAGGTTTTTGTGAAACTCGAACCAAGTCTCAATCCTCAAGTCAGCCATTTCATTTGGCAGTACCTGGTACACACTGAGACAGAGAACTCATTTTTCTGGCTGCAAGAAAAGTGTGACTGGCTTGATTTCCAAGTATTTCAACACCCTGAAAAATTTAGTTGTAGGCTGCAGCCCAGCATTCACAGAGTATGCTCTGACACCCACCAGCACCAACATGAGGACAGCCAGGGCTGTTTCTGCCCCAGCACAGTGGAGGGCTCAGATCTGACCGCTGTGGCGGGGCCACAAGAGTTCGGGATCAGCGTTTATGGCCCATGCATAACTTCATGTAAATGGCTACACATCTTATTGATTGTGCAAATGTAGCAAGAGAAAAACTGCACAGTGGAGATTCAACAACTACGCTGGGTTATGAGCTCAGGGACATATTCCAGGCCTGATGAGCTGCCTAAATTGCTCACATTTCTGATCATCTGCTCTACTTCCCCCAACTCTGCACTCCAAGCTGTCTGGGTTTGGGGGAAATTTATCTTAAAATTTCTCCCAACATATCTACTTCCCTACTCTCTCCAATCCCTCCTTAAAAAAAAAAAAGTGAAATGCAACTTTACTGCCATCTCAGACTTTTCTGGTAGCTGTGAACATGGCTGCTTTACACATGAATCAGGTGAGTAGCCAGGCTGGAGCTGAATAAATGCAACACTTGGTCTAAGAAGCAGCAAATGGATCTGCAGCAGGTGGCTGTAGCTGCCATCTCCTGGGCCAGGGGCATCCCTAGAGTCCCATCTCATGAATCATTTACCATACTGACTCCAGCTCAGCTCAGAGAGGAAGCACCCAGAACGTGCTGGAAGGGATGAGCTCATCAGCCCCAGCAGATGCATAAGCAGGAACCACGCATGCAAACTGTTCAGAACAAATGCAGCATGGACGCATCTGAGGGATCATTTGTGTTTTGGATTAAGCTCATTTTGTTTGAGCTTTGTGTTTTCCAGAATGCCTTCAACGTGCTCCTTTCAGTTGGACCTAAAATATCATCTTGAGGGTGGTAAACGGACAGGACCCAGAGCAGCTGCTCAAATGTGACCACTGATAGTCAAAGGGCAACCTGCTGTGGGGCAGGCACATCACCACAGACCGGACAGCATCACATACATTTATGACCGATTTATCAAGGCCTGTGGCTCAGACTTTGTTTTCTGGCCAAGGGTTCAAAACTAGAACTACAGGAGGCCCTGTTCAGTCGGGCTGCTTCACCACCTCTTCCCACCATCGCTCTTCCAGAAGCAGGCAGAGGCTGCATTCCCGGAGTCCATGTATTTACTAGTTGGAGTAAATAGAATAAGTGACTCACCCTTGGGCCCCCCCCCCCCACTATTGGGAAAATTTTAAAGACAAGGAGTTAATGTGGGTTTAAATGCTCATGAGAACTTAGAACAATGCTATCAACCGAAATCAAGATACTAACTGCAAAAACCCTTAAGTGACTCCATTTTTGAGAATTTATCCTGCTCATCGTCTCACACAAGGATGTGCAGAGATGCATAGACAAGAACGTCCATCTAGTATTGTTTTTAAAAGCAAAAAGCCAGAAGTGGTTTATCTATTGATCAGTGATCAGAGGGCTGCCTAAATAAATTAGGGAGTGTCTAAAGAGTAGAAATACCATGTGGTGTTAAAATGAGTGAGGTCTACCTGCACCAGCCAAGACAGAGAGATGTTCAAGGTGTATTAGTGAACATAAAGCAAGATGCTGGGTGTCATTTCCTGGGGGAGAAGATGCCCTTTCCTGGGGGAGAAAATGGGACTTGTAAATGGCTGACAGCTGTTACCGCCGGGGAGGGAAGTGGGAGTTTGGGTGGAAAGGAAGATTAATTTTTTTATCCTATGAGAACAACAACAAGAAAACCCCAATCTTTTTGTATAATAAAGTCTGATCATACAATATAACCATTGGACAAATTCCTTAAGCTATTATTAAATTCCATGCATTTTAAGGAGAGGCAAGAGCTGCCTGTACGAGCAACTCTTATCAACAGTGGTGAGGCCTTGGGCTGACGAGCGGGAGAAGGCAGGGCTGTTTCACTGATCTACACCCTATGTCCACGGTCCACATTGACAAAAAGCAACCACTGATCACTGGAGGGCCACACAAACCTCAGAGAGCCTATTCACCTGCAGAGTGTCATTGATTCAGTAGTTGAACCACAGACTCAACAGTTCTGTGGGCAGCAAGGCTGCCTGCAACGCTGTGTCAGCCTTACAGCTCTGGCAAGACCACACAGAACACACCCTTATAGAATTGTGGTTTTAAAGCCTTGATTCCAGGAAGGCAGAATTTTTATTAAATTCTAAGAAAACACCTTTGCGTTCAGTTCCAAGGTGGTAGAAATAAGTGGCAAAAAATTAAAGTCTTGACAGGGTTGTTCTGTTAAGCTCCAAGCTCAGGGTTTGCATTGGCATCAGAGGATGGATGAACACCATAGTGACTGGAATGACACTTTTAGGGTAGTTCTGGATCAATTTCCTTGATGGTTTTGATGAATCTGTGTAGTCTGCTAGGTTTCCGCTTCTCATAACTGATTGGGGGCTAGATAGCAACTCTAAAGGAGCAAATTTCTAAGAAATGTTCATGTTTGGGGTAAATACCAGACACAGGAGGCAGCCACAGAACCACCAACTTGGCACTGATTTGCTAGCACATTCCATGGAGCTTGCAGAATCCCTGGCGATGGCTGATTCACTGCCCTGTGCAGAGCCCACCACATCCTGCACCTTGAATCGGCTTAAATCACATCTATGTGAATACTTACCATGATAATTAGGATGATACTGTAACAGGAAAAAAGCAGTTCTAAATTATCCCAAAATATTATAATTTTGAAGGTCAAATGGGGGTGCGGGGATAGGAACCAATTAACAGGATGCTGCGGCAGACAGAATAATGGCCCCCCAGAGACAAACACGTCCTAATCCTCAGTACCTGCGGCTATTACCTCACCTGACAAACGGGACTTAGCAGCTGTGATTAAGTCGCGAGGTTGTCCTGGATCATCAAGTGGATGAAGGGAAGCGGGAGAATTGGAGGGCGCATGAGGATGGAACTGGAGTTCAGAGTGGCGTGAGCCGTGAGCACTGACTCTGAGGACGGAGCAAGGGGCCAGGAGCCGGGCAGGTGTGCGGCCTTGAGCAGGCGAAGGCAAGGAAGGATTTCTCCCCTAGCACCTCTGGAAGGAAGAGCCCCTCTGGTCCTCTGACTTTGGCCCACGGACACCCACTGTGGACTTCTGCCCCCCAAGAGTGCAAGGTGATGTGATGCTTTCAGCCATCACATTGGTGGTGTTGCCACAGCTATGGAAACTAGCACAGGTGGTGAGGAAAGGCATCTGGGAGGTGACATTTGAGAAGAGAGCTGAGGAGATCACTGCACTAAAGTCGGAGAGAAGGGCACTGCAGGCACAGGGAGCAGCACCAGCAGAGGCCTGAGGCAGGAATGAAGCCCACCTGCTCAAGGAGAAGAACGTGGGGCTATGTGACTAAAGCAGAATGAGTGAGAAAGGGAGGCAGGGGAGGTGAGCTTCGAGGCGGGGGTCAGGCAGGCGGGACATCTGCCCCATCCCTGACAACTCAGCAGCCCCCATGCTGTGGAGTCACGGGGGCCATGCCTCGCCTTCTCCTCTGTATGCACCAGAACTCCCCTGCGGGCGTTGAACAGCCTGAGCCTGCCCTTGCGCCATCCTGCTGTCCACCTCTTGGCTTCTGGCACTTCAGAAATGCAGAGGCTCAGGCTAGAGGCCCCAAGGCCAGGCGCCGACAGCAGACAGAGGCCTCTTCCATTTCCCCCCAGGGCTAGGCCAGACTCTGCACCACCCCTGCTCCGAGGATCCACTCCACATCGGATCCAGTTCTCCAGACTGGCCTCTGGCTCCGGGGACCTGTCCTCACATGCCTCGGACACATGGTCTCCAGTCTAACATTTGGGTGGAACACCCAACAGGGCCCAGCAGAAACCTAAGCTGAGATGGCTGCTTTTAATGCCTTTGAGCTACTGGAAAGGTGCAAATGAGATAAAATAGAAAGCCATATTCCGGGTGAACCCAGAATAGAGAGCCCAGGGTGGACCAGATGTGTGATGGGCCCACAGCACCCAGCCCCTCGGGAGGTCTGTGCCCTGGACCATGCGTCATCTAAAAGGCCATGGGATCAGTCAGTCCTCCTGGTGAGGGGCTCAAGGTGACAGAGCTATAGTAAATGAGCATTTATCTAGTGCCTACTGTGTTGCAGAAATCTGCATCTATCTGCCTCCTTTAATCCTCACAGTGATCTTCTTATCACCTCTTATATGTGAGAAAGATGAGGCTCTAAAGGTACGTGTGTGTCTATCTCACAGAGCTGGGATATGAAGGAGCTATAATATAGAGCTAGAATTTGAGGCTGATTTTTATCTTTTTTATTACTTCATTCTCATTTTTCCTATATTGTCATCATTGAAAGGCGGTAGTCTTTATTTTTTTTAAATAATTAGATTTTACTTCAAAAACTTGAGGGCATCTTGTGTGTGCCCAATTTCTTACCCATCCTTCCCCATATACTTACGTTCACAATGAAGAAGAAAGTTATAAATATATTGAAATTAAATTAAAAAAAATAAAGTCTTAAATAGACATTACCCCCAAGGCAGAAGAATTGTTATTTCACAGAATGCCCAAATATGGGAACGAAAACTGGTTTTGGTGGGTCAGTACTCTGAGACAGCACAACGAAGGCAGACACCCAGGGGCACCCGCCAGGCAGGAAGCATGTCTGCGGCTGGGTCTGGGGTCCCTCCCACCAGCCTGCTCCTCACGCCCCACACCTTCTCTAGCCTTAACGTCCTCCACCAAATCGCAGCCCTTTGCATTTCTGCCATTGGAATCCTTTCCTGTCTCCTCCTTCAGTGACAAAGCTCCTCTCAGCCATCCTCAGAAAGGACAGTCGATCCTAAAGCCACTGTGCTTAGGAAGATTTGGGAAAGCTGAGGGTGAGTCCTGAAGACAAGTCCTTTCCCCTCAAGCTCGGAGCCCAGAGCACCAAGCTGAGCAGGTAAGAGTGGGTGGAGCAGAGAGCACCTGTCACCGGCCACGGCCCAGGAGGAGAAGGTGGCCCATCCCTGCAGGTAAGGTCACCTCCGCTGACCACCCTGCACCTCAGACAGCCTGCGGCCCTGGAGACAGGACCTGGCTGCAGGTGAGTGGTGGGGGCGGGGCAAGGAGTGGAGGCTGCAGGCAGCCCAGCCAGGGAGGAGGCAGGCAGGCGGACAGGGTGCGGATTTGCCTCCCTCCAGAGCACACAATAGGAACGACCTGTAACTGATGAGGAGCAGGCAGAGGGGCTTGGAGAGGGTCCAGGAGGGAACTTCAATGAGGATCCAACTGTTCTAATTTAAATGAGAAAAGACCCTTCCATGTTGAATTTTCAACATTCTCAAAACAACTGCAAACCCAAGTCCATGTCAGCTCTCAACTCCGCCTCAGTCCTAACAGACACAGTATTTTATGTCCACAGTCTTGACCATGGCACTGGCAGACTCTGTCACCCCTCCTTGGAGGGCACCCGGCGCTCAGCAGCTCCAAGGCTTCTGGCCTTGCTCTGCCGCTCATCCTCACGGGGCTTCTCTGCACATACTAGAGGGACCCAGTGCTTTGAAGACACTTGACAATGTACAGGCAACGTCAAGTGTGTGTGTGTGTTGTGTTTTTCCCACAAAGACTCTTTTTTGATAGGACTCTAATGCTTCTCTGCCAGCGCATTTTTGGCTGCACTAGAGGCGGTGACCCCTGGATGACATCAGCCATTCTTATCCCAGTGACAACTCTGGGTTCAGACCCGGGAAGGGGTGGGTGTGGCCTGAGGCAGGAGCAGAGGGCTGAGCTGGGGCTGGGGACACAGGTCTGGAGTCGCCCTGGGGTCCACCTCCTCATCTTCAGTGACGGAGGCCGCCTGCCTTTCTTGAATGAGTGTGGGGGTCAATCCCCCAGGAGGAGCTGCAGAAATACTCACGGATCTCGCAGTTGGCGCCCACCCAGCCGTGTGGGCAGTGGCAGGTATAGCCGTTGGGCTGGTCCAGGCAGGTGCCAGCGTGGTGGCAGGGGCCACTGTCACACTCGTTAATGTCGATGTCACACTCTTCACCTGAGGAGAGAGGGAAACGCGGTAGTGAGACACGGGGCCGCCTGTCGCCCTCAGTCCCGGGGTGAAGCCGAGAGCCACGGCCGGGTCTCGAGCTCCAGCAGCAAGGCCCACGCTGCTGTTTATAAAAAGTGCAGAACTCTCCCAAGTTTCCAGAACAAGGGCCTCTCACTTAAGGGAAACTAAACCAGAAAACAAATGGCACTGGGAAAAGCCTCTCCCCATCAGCCCCCGAATGCACTAATTACCCGAAGCCAAGGCCCAGGTCGGATAAAACTTTCCGGGTTTAGCAGAGAAGCAAACTTGGGTTCTACAGAAATCTGTTTTATTTTGGATTTATTTTTCTAAATCTGATTTATTTTTCTGAAACTCCAGGAAGCTGAAAACTCAGTTGATGGATTTTTTGTGGCCAAGTGTTCAGCATGTGTCTGGACGCCTGACTACTGTCCTGATAGAGTCCTATAGCAGGGCTCTGTGCCTGGCCTGAGTCACCTGGGGACATGTTGTCCACTTTCCAAATCCCTTCTGAGAGGGGCTTCAGTGCTCAGGGAGGCCTCCCGGCCCACCCCAGGAGAAGGTGTTGTGAGGTCTGATCTTGGCCTCACTCTGACATAAGCTTCCTGGGACAGAGTGGCTTGAAGAAGGCTCCATCCCATAATAAAACATGGCACCTAGAGCTTCTGATGCTTGTAGGCCCAGCATTTCGAGGCATTCTTGCCTCCTGCAAAGAGAGTCTAAGCTTGCAAACTAGAATATGGGCTGATAGGACTGGGGTCCAAATACCAGTGTATAGAAACTAGCTGTTTATGGAAAGGTCCATGAACAAAGCCATCCTCCTGAGATTTAAAGGCCACACCACGAATCAATACAAAATGGAGAGTTTCTTAAAGATGTTTCATCAAAGCTGAATAGAAGAGGTTATTTCAAACAGAGGCCTCTCTTTTCAAAAGAAAACTTTTAAAATATGCCTCCATTGGCTTAAAAAATACAAAAAGTGATTTAAAAAATATTCCCACCACTGCTACAGTCATACACTAAAGCAAAGGAGCAAAATCAAATATTTTATTCATTTTCAAACAGCAGTGTTTCAGTGTACACTTGGGTAATTACTTCCAGGTTGAGTTAATTAGTATTAAAGTGCCTTTTTATCTGCTATTGGTTTACCTCCTGTTTATAAAACCACCATATGTCACTCACGAACCATGATGGAGGAGGAATCTCTCACCAAAATAGTTCACATCTGTTTCATTTCACACTCTTTTTGTACCTGGCATCTATTTTATTTTTAAAGTAAAATCTGTGGAATGAAACATTTACTACTTCTCGGTCCTTCTAGGTTTGTTATAATTCACTAGTGTCTAAATGAATTTGTTTCCTGCAATAAATATAGTCATTTATGTCAATAGGAAAGACATGAAATTGATTGCCTTTACTAGCCTATTTCAAAGGTTGTCTTTCTATTAATGGGGTAATCTCTCTGAGTGGAAAAAGGTCACAGACTAAACTATTACGAACGGCATTACACAGGAGACCAGTTGAAGAGACATATAAACATGAGCGTGCTGAGAAATGTTAAAAGGAAGAAATAAAAGGCCTTGGCAAACATATGCATCAGTACTACTTTCCACCCATTTCAGAAGACAAGCTTTATTGAGGTATTTACAAAACAATCGCTTTCTTGGGCTGGCAATCTGAATCCTGCAAATTCTGAAATAAGATGCTCTTTGCAGCAACAGCTACAGGCCCAGCCTGACTTCTCCCAGCCGAGAAAAGAGAGAGGCTATCCCAAAACCCCAGTCTTCTCCAAAAGTCCAATGTCACTATCAAGACCTGAGCTCTGAGCAGATCCAGAAACTTCAGTCCAGGCCATGAAGTCTTGCTCTGGTGCAGAGCTTTCCCAGGGAGGTAAAAACAGAATTCAAGGTCCAAAGGTGCCCTAATGTGTACACTGGTTCTGGGAACTCTACAAGGCTCTAATAGAGTTGGGAGAGGCCCAAGATCCCTGGATGTATCTGATATTGGGCCCACCAGGTTGGAAGGATTTGGTAGGAATGGAAAATGACAGACAAAAATATGACCTGTTTCTGTCTATAGATGTTTATCAAATATCTAAGACCCAGGATCTGAAGGACTGGGGTCCAGAGAGAATCCTAAACCAATCTCAGGCTGACTTCCAACTCCAGAATATTCTTCAAGCTAAACTAGGGGCGAAATGACATTAACTAATGATAGGAACTCCATGCCATTTAGGCGCCCAATTACCTGGCAGTGGCTTCTGCAGCTTATGCGATATGAATGAACCCTGGTGTGATTCATGGTGCTCAGATTACTTTAGATTTATTCTAATGGCCCATTTTATAAACGGACACTGCAATCCTTCTACTTGAACCAGTTATCCTCCAACTGGCTCTCAGTTTGAGCTTTCACTGTGTCGCATGTTGGTGATGGGGCTATGGGGTGACTCTAATGTCAGGGCTCATCAGCCCAAAGAACCCCAAAGATGATAGTTCTTCTCTGCTTTATGCTGATTGGGATTTTGTCCATCAGTCTGACGCAAAATGTTTGAAGATTTATTATGAACTCTGGGAAGCAAGTTTGGTTTCCCTTACATTTCCCCATATTAAGAGTATTAAGGATTTTTATACACATTTCAACACCCTGTTTGCAATCAATATGCATTCTAGCTAATTTCAGTAGAAGGGCTCTTAGTATATTAAATCATCTTTCCTTATTTGTAGTTGACTTAATAAATCATTATGCTTTTGCAGACTTTTCATTGACTTGCTTACTTTCTTTTATTTGAGTTTGAGAAAAATCAATTACTTTTAAATCACTGTTGTGCTTGAATAACATTTGTGAAGAGAATACAAAATGAAATTTCTACTTGACTGCGGTTGAAAATAAGAACCTAAACTTCATATCTTTCACAATTTCTTTTCAATCGCCTACATTCTTAGAGACAATGCATTTGGCAGAACTTATGCAAATATACAAGTTTGCTCTTAAACTCTGTATGATTTCCTCAGATAAATTAAAATGAGAAAAGGCAAAAAATAGTTGAAATTCATTGCTTTTGGCAAATCCTTGAGTTAATAGAACTCACACTGAATGGTATCGATGAAAGTCATTATAATTATCATAGCGAGTATAAAATATAAATCACTATGTGCCAGGTATTGGGATGGCCTTTTAACTATAACTCCTTCATCTTGATGAGTATTTTATTCCAAATGAAATGAATCCAAAAAATTACTTGGAACTTCTTCTATCATGAAGGTAGAAAGACATGAGTAATCTGTCTTGCCTTCCCATTGTAAACAATTAGACAACTGGATGAAACACAGATTTTAAAGAACACCAGTACTGGTTTTCTGCCTTCAGACAATTTGGAATAGAATGATGTCACTGGATTGAGGAGAAGTGAAGTTTGTGGAGGTCAACTTATAGGACAGGCTACCATGGAAGACAGAGCCATTCAGGGAAATCCCACCAGAAATACATTGCTTCCCTTGAATTTGATGCTGAACATGAATTTGTTGAAACTGCATGTGCCTGGAAAACAAGAGGAAAGATGAACAGTTCCCAAAGCTCATAGACTGGAAAGTACGCAAACTCTCACAAGTCAGAGTGGAAATATTTCATTGCTCTCCTACTTTACTCAGTGAGGCAACAAACAGTCAAATTTCAGCAACACACACACATGTCTGTAGAATAAAGGACACTATAGCTAATACAGTCTTAAACGTGCACCCCCCTCCAATATAAAACAAACCATTTCTTTTAAAAGAAAAACAACAAAATCCACTCAACGGCATAATTCAAAAAGACCACTATCCCTCCAAATTATCTGACATGCAAAGAAGCAGGAAATGTTCCCATAGCCAGAAGGAAAAATAGTCAAAATACACGGATTCAGAAATAACAAATGATGGCTAGTAGGGAATTTGCTGAAGATGTGGAGGAAAAGATAAAAAAAGAAAAAGAGGCTAGAAATGGAAGTCATAAAAAAGAACAATGGAAATTCTAGATAGTAAAAATATATGAAATTAAAAATCAAACAATACTTTAAAAAAACACTGAATTTTTAGACAATAGATTAGACTCTGTGGAGCAAAAGACATTTAACATGTAAAGATTTCGAAATGGCCAGTAACTATGAGAAAGAAGCTCAACACCAAAGAAATACAAATTTAAATCTCAGGGAGTCTAAAATGTTGATGGCATTTGCCCATGAAAATGCATTGGAATGACTCAAAGAAAACAAAATAAACAATCCAGTCAAAAAATGGGCAGAAGAGCCAAAAACACATTTTTTCAAAGAGGACATGTAGATGGCCAACTGGTATATGAAAAACTGTTCAACATCACTTATACTCAGGGAAATACAAATGAAAACCACAATGAGGTACCACTTCGCACCAGTAAGGATGGCACATATTAAAAAAACTGGCAACAACAAATGCTGGCAGGGATGTGGAGAAAAAGGAACCGTCTCACAGTGCTGGTGGGAACAACGCCGTTCTAACCACTAAGGAAAGCTGTGTGGAGGACCCTCATATTACTAAAAATGGAGCTACCATAGAACCCAGCAATTCCACTCCTAGGAATCTACCCAAAGGACACAAAAACATTAATTCAAAAGGACACCTGCACTTCTATGTTTATTGCAGCACTATTCACAATAGCTAAGCTACGGAAACAACCCAAAAGCCCAAAAATAGATGACTGGATCAAGAAGATGTGGTACATATACACCATGGAATATTACTCTCTCATCAAAAAAGATAAACTCATGCCATTTGCAGCAACGTGGATGGAGCTGGGAGGGATCATGCTCAGTGACATAAGTCAGAAAGAAAAAAAAAAAGTATCAAATGGTTTCACTTATAGGAGGAATGTAGGAAAACCAAAAAAGGGGTCAGAAAAAAAAGACAAAAGTACCAGGCGAATTATAAATCTGAGACATACAGCAGGGGAAGGGAAGGCAGAGGGGTCAAAACGGGAGGGAAGAGCCCAAGAGACGATGGTGACATTCACGGGTGGCGCGGTGGAATTTTGTGGGAATTATGCACAAGGGGAGAAATCAAATATTGTAAAAAAAAAAATAAACACTGCTGTAAAAATAAATAAATTTTAAAAAAGAAAATGAGTTGGAAATTGCAGGACATTGTCAAATGAAAGACAAATAGTGAAAAGTAGCTGAGTCAGAAAGTCGAGGACGGCCTCACATTACTCAGCCTTTAACAATGCATGTTGACTGTGTGCTCTGCTAGGAAAGGAGAGGTTTACTGGTGTCTGATTTAAACTGTTATTCAAATGCTCATCGATGTCAGTAGGCTGGACAGAGACTCTTTGGCTTCCCTGCTGGAGTACAGTCACCTTGGGCACAGTCTATGGTTTCAGATAGGTAAGAAATAAAGCACCACCTGGAAAAACAAAGCAGATCCTAATGTTGCCCAGGGTCTCCTGACTTTCTGTGTATTCTGTCCTGAGCCAGATAATTCTAGGGGAAGGAGGGAAGAAAAATTACAAAGTCTTAAAGAGAAGAACGGACGCTATATGAGTTCAAAACTGAAAACTGGACAGGCCAGAGGCCAGGTCCTCAAGGAAGGAGCTTAGAGAGGCATTCAGGTATGGGAGAGGGAGGCTCTGCAGGGTCAGATGACCAGATTACTGCAGCCTGAGCTCAGCATGACAGGAGCGTTCCCTCCACACCACGTCCCAGAGTCACCTCTGGCCTGAGGGAAGTGCCTTGACCCAAGGGAAAGCTCCAGACTCACAGGTAAATGTGACATTGAAATGAGCATCTAATCACAGAGCAGCAATCTCCTTAATTTGCTCCACTCAGTCAAGCAGGGAGGAAGGCTCACTACACCTCCCGAGAAATGAAGGCGTCCAAGATGAGAGCTCACAGAGTAGAGGGACCGTTACTCCTCACACATCTACAGCTAATGCCGTCAGCCTCTCCACAGAATGCTTGTTCTCAGGATACAAGAGGTTCCTTTTTAAAGGGGAAAAAAAAGTCCTATGGTCAAATATATTTGGAAAAGGAAACAAGATGATTTGCTGTAAGACTTCTCAGCATTTGGATGTGACAACTCATGGATTCCACGTGGTCACGGACACGCCATCCACAGCATCTGAGGGAACTGTGCTCTGGGAAACACACTGACAGCACAGCCCCCCAAGGAAGCTTGGGAACTGCTGTTTGCAGCTTGAGAAACTACCAGGGCTGATGGGAAGAGAGAGATGGGGTGAGCTTGAACCACACCAGTGGAGATCTACTGTCCCCCCAAGACTGCAGTGAGGACCATGAAGAGAGCCTGGGGGGACTTGCAGGCTGGAGGCGAGGGCAGGGCGGGGCCAGGCGTCTGGGAGGCAGAAGACGGGAGGTCACGACTTAGAAGAGCTTACATGGAGTGATCAGGAATCAAACAGGCAGAAAGAAAGGTCCAGAGCAGGGCTGGAAGGCTGGATGGGTCTTGATGGTGGAGATAAGGGTTTCCATCTTTTTCTTATAGACAATAAAATGGCAACAGGTGATTTTAAGTAGAAAGTGATACGGTTACCTTTTCATTTCTAAGGTGAAACAGGGTGGAACACTAGAGGTGAAGGGCCCACACGCGCACTGTGGGGCTCTGGGGTGCTGTCGAAGAGCAGAGAAGGGCACTATTCTCCCTTGAGAAGCTGATAAGCACTTGAGAGTCCCCTTGGGCTGTTCTCCTCCAAGCACCAGGCCACACTTGCTTTCAGGGGTCCCCAAAGTCCCTGAAGACCATGGGGATGACTTGTGGAGCCCAGATTGAGCAGAACCCTAGACTAGCCAACTCTTCCCACCCGGAGCTCAGCAGCGGCCAGCCCGGGGTGCATCCCCATCTCCACTCTCCCTCCACGCCTGTGTGCCTTCCCCACCGTCAGCCCTGAGCCTGGAGTGCGCCCTCCCTCACACCACCACCTCCCTTTGCTTTCCGAAACCCAGTCACTTTTACATCTTCCAGTAAAAACCAACGTGATTGCTGAATGCAATTCCTATAGTAGACAGTTCTGGAACTTCCTGCCTTCCATGCTTCAAGGAAAACTGGCAGGTCTCTGCACCAAACGCTGATTTCAGAAGCACCTCGGTTAATCATAATACAATGCATTGTTCAAAAAGAGAGCTGCAGCCGAGCAAAATGCCTCCCGACTCTTTCCCACAGCAACCCTACTTCAGCCACGGTGAGCCTGAAAACTCAGTTGCAGGTCACTTGCCTGTGAAGCCAGGAGCGCAGACACACGTGCCATTGAGGCCTTCGCTGTCACAGGTGCCTCCATTCAGACAGCTGACGTTGGCACAGGGGTCCTTGTAGGATTCGCAGTGGACTCCTGCGGAGAACAGATGCAGAAGAGGTGAGGCCAAGGGGAGGGGGTGCCCTCAGGGAGGCCCCCGTGGGCTGTGGTGGACGATAGGGACTCGGGGGTGGCGAGGTCACATGCATCTGAAGAGGAACCCGTGTCCCTAAAACATGCAGCACTAGAAACCAGTGTTTTCTCAAGAAAAAAAAAAATAAGACTTTCAAGAAATAAGTAAATGTGATCATTTTCCTATATCACTCAGTCTTTGACAGAAACTAGGACTTCAAGGAGTTTCTGCTGTCACTAAATGCACCTGCTTCTGACGGGCGCTGTTAAAGGAGACATTATTGTCGTCTGCTAAGTTCCGACCACGGGAGGGGGGAATGGGAGGGAGGAGGGAGTGAAGGGGGCATTGCGGGCTCCCCGGGCCTCCGAAAGCCAAGGCTTGACCCGCCTGGGGCAGGCTGGAGGCAGACCCCAGCGGCGTGTGTGGTGTGCACACGCACGTGTCCATGCCTGCTCTTGACTTGAGCTGTTGTAAAGACACGCCTTGGGAGACAACAACAAACTCGGTCCCCCTCAAGCTCTCACTGGCCTCAGACCCCCACGCTGGGAGCTGAAAGGTTAAAACCCAGAAAGAAAAAGTATCAGCGACAGTGTTTTCTACGTCATCTCTACAAGAAACAGAAAACGGCCAGTCTTCATAAAACACCGACGCTACTGAAGACAGCCCCCAGGAGGCCTGCCTGAGGGGGCTCCAGGGCCTCGCACTCCAGGCCTGGGCTCCGGCCCCACTCACAGGCCCTGGGCACATGCTCTGCTCCACGCCCTCGCCCGTGCCCCAGGCCTCACGGGATCCTCACGGCCATGCCACCCCTTGTCCCCCACTCTACAGACGAGGACACCGAGGACAGAACCCAGTCACGGGGGTGGCTGGGACTGGAAACCACCAACATCTGAGCCACTCCATTGCCGGGAGTGAGCTCAGACTCGCCATGGAAATTTAGATACTATTGTGCAGCGCGACTCCCATTGAACGAAATGAGGCCCTTAGCAACCCTTTAGAGCAAAGCAGTTTCCCATTGGTGTAAAACTAAAAAGTCTGTGAGTGCAAATGCCTATGAAACGGGACTGAGCGGGGAATGGATTACTCTGTCGGGATTTTTTTACATTGAGTGTGTATTATTTTACATTTCCATAAACAATGTAAAAATCCGCTGCTCTTTCAAAGCTGAGATTTTTGCTGCTGTTTCACTGGAGAGTCAAGACAGATGAACGGCCTCATCTCTCTAGCGCTGGCCCTGCCCTTTGGAGAGGAAGATAAATCATTATAGTCTGGACAAGAATGTATAGGATGATACACTCATCCCTTCCCGGCAGGCCCCGGGAAGAGCAGCATCCAGCCAAGCCGACGACTGGCGTGGACTGGACGTGCTCTCGCTACGCAGCTTAGCTCATGTGGAGCAAAGGGCCGCCACACCCAGTGACTCATCATTTACTCACTGGAATTAGACTTGCTGGGATTCTCCTCTTGTTTCTTTCCAGTGTCTTAAGATGTGGGCTCGAGACGGAGGATAAGAGAAAACAGAAACACCTACCCCTGCCCACCCTAACGACCTCCCTGGGCCCGGTGAAGCGTGTCCAGGGGATGGTTTAATCCCTGCCCCTCACACCCAACCCACGAGCCATGTTTTGCAGGATATTTTTCTGAAGTGCCTTTCAGACATGTCCCTTCTTCCTGGAACCTCCACCCCATGCCACGCCTTCCTGCCTGGTGGGATGGGCCAGGGACAGTGCCAGGTGCCAGGGACAGTGAGTGAGTCTCCCCAACTTTCGACTTCCTTCACAACCCAGGATAGAAAGCTCAAACTAATTTAAAGATTGACACAAAACTGGTAATTCTTTAGATGGGGGTGTACACCTTCCAAATCCAACAAATAAGAAGTCACATATTTCCAAGTCCCCAAGGCATCCATCAGTGGGAACCAGGTGAGAAAAAAGATTTTCCCCTGTAATGGAAAATACAAGCACAACCGAAGTTCAAAGATGTCCAGAATCTTAGAAAAATTTCTAGTAGCGCTCAGGGAAGAGCAATTGCTGGGTAACCTTTGCTGGGTCCCTAGTAATCCATGAGCCAGCCTCGTCTGGGGATGGCAACAGAATGACCACATTAACGCACTGATGACCACATTTTTTCAAATCTGGCTGTAAAGCAAGTTCTAGGCTAAATATTTGACTATCTTAACCTTCAAAGTCTTCAGTGAGAGTTGATGAAAACACCCAAGATAACAAGCCATTTCAAACTTTGGGCTGTTTTCTTTCTTGGCAATCATGTTACCCCTGGTTATTTTTCTCTTTTCAAAAGATAAGACTGTCGGCTTCATGTGACCGTTGAGAGTGTTCTGGCAGCAAGACGGGACCCAAGCTGAGCTTCACGTACGCGCGACCATGACACAGACATCCCCAGAGAACAGGCGACTCACATTCCCGTACGGTGAGCCTCGCTCATCCCACATCAGAGTATTTCTGATATTGCTGCATTTGCTGATGTGAGCGGAACACGGTGCATCTCCTTAAGGTGGAGGCTGGGAGAGGCCCTCACGGGCTGGGCCGATGGGCCCAAGAAACCTCCACCAAACCTGCCCCTCGAGGGAAGAGCAGGAGGGACTGTGGTGATGGATCATGGGGCTACAGTGGTGGGAGAACTGTATACCCCACCTGAGGACTGGGGACCCCACCTGAGGGGGGGACATCAAACACTGTCCAAAAGTGAGCAACGATGCAAGAAAAGAAATTATTAAAAAAACAACAGCCCTACTCCCTGCTCCTCAGGCCCCTGGGCCCTGCCCTCCTGCCTTGCCCCCCAGGACCTGGCCCTAACACAACCCGAGGGGGGGCATCCCTTGCCCTCTGACAAGAACACCTGTTTTCACCTCTGCCCCAAGCTGGTCTTCACCTGGCAGTGCTGTCCATGCCCAGCTCCAAAGCCCTTTCTCGGGAGAGCCGACTCTCCCCAGAGGGAAAGTTCTTCCACCAGGGTGGGCAAAGAGCACACTGAGATGCCTGCCGTCATCACCCAGTTCACTGTGTGAGACCCTCACTTATCTGGGCTCCTGTCTGATGCCCCCAATCTGAGGGGCCATGTTGTGAGTGGAAGAAATAGCAGAAACACCCCAGAGGCCCGTCCTGCAGGAGGCGCCGGCCAGGGCGCTTTGGCTGACGCACAGGTAGGCCGCCAGAGGAGCGAGCAGCCGTTCCAAATCCACTTCACAAACACCCTATTTTGCCGGGGAAACCAGGTCCGTGCTTCAAACTAAGTCTGGAACGGCACAAGCATCACCCACTGGCAAAGGACGTGGCACGCACTATTACGAAACCTATGTTTAGTCTCAAGCAAAAATAAACTGTCATTCAGTCAAAACTAATAAAAATTCATACTTTTCATATTAAGGGATAGAGAGGAAATGTTTCTGAAAAGCTCTCCATTCCAACATGGCTCTTTATAGAAGCTACTTTTAGAATTAAAAATGAGCAAAATTCAAAGAGGCTTGCACCCGCTATAAATCTCTTGTCATCACAACGTGGTCACAACTAATATTCTGAGCACTGAAAAATCATTACTTTAGCTCCAGGAAAATTAAGCCAGGTAAAAAAAATTAACCACAAGTGTTCTTTGAATTAGTATTTGCTTTAAGACATCATCTTACTTTTTTTCAGAGCTATTTATTTCCTCCATGTAAACTTTTCCAGTATCTCATCCCTCACGGAGTTCAAACTATTTCAGAAATGACAGCGGACATCTGGACCTCACTCTTCCCTGTGTGTGCCAGGCTCAGCTACCCTTCCAGTTAAATAATAGTCTGAGAAGGGTTAGGGGCACAAAACACTTAAGTTCTGATTCACTGGTTACACCGACGAAATAATTCTAGCCCACAAAGAAAGCTTTTTTTTTTAAATAATTCTAGCCCACAAAGTAAATCCTTTTGATATAAATTTCTATAGACTTTAAAAATAAATAATTATGGACAAGGTGATCAGACTCATAACCCAAAGATTTCACTTTTAACCATCCCACCCCCTCCGCGAAACAAAACTCCAGAAATTTAAAAAATGATATGAATAAAGATGTTCATTCCAGAATTATTTATAATCACTTCACATTAGGTATAGCAGGGAATGGATAAGTAATCCCTCCTGGAAACACCACCGAGCCATGGAAGGCAGAACTAGTAAGACATCCCAGCAATACCTGAACCGAATGCAACATAATGCTAAATGTGAGTGGGACAAGACAACCCTGTAAGTACTCTCAATTATAGCTGTAAAGACACAGGCATTAAAAAGGATACAAACAATTCTGATGGCACACCGCTGGGTTCTGTTATAAAGCTATGAGCGATTTCAAATATCTATGTTTTTACTATTACTGTATCTTCAGAACTAAAAATGGAAATATTTTCTTTCTAATGTTCAACCCCCAAAATCCCAGGTGACACACTGATCATAGAATTTCTGCTAGAAATAAAAATCAACACAATAGGGGCTGGCACTTGATTTTTCGACAAAATGAGGTTATGAACACCCACCAACGTCTCAAAAGCCCTCTGATGAACTAGTTTTGAGAGCAGCATCAGTGATTCTGTATGTCTGAAGGGAGGTTGCTCTGAGACCCTCCTTGCATTTTACTCCTAACAATTTCCTGGTTCACAGTGGAAACTTACTGGGAAAATGTTCAAGTTGGTTCCTTGATTTAATTAGTATGTTAAGCAGCAGCTTCAATTCCAGTAAAGAGCTATGAGCATTTCCTTTGTGCAAGCCACCATATCAAGAGCTGCAGAGAATTAAAAGAGAAAAAAACAAAAAAAAGTCCGTACCCTTCAGATTATGATCTAGCATAAGGGAGAGGGAAGTCCGAAGCCAGAAAGAATCGATTGCCAGGCTGATCATAATGGTCGGAGCAAATGCAGAGAAAATGCTGGTGGAGTTCAGAAAATGTTTGTCTACTTGGGGATCAAGATGTCAGACCTGGGTCTGGTCACAGGATTGGATGATGGCAGAGAAGAGAGAGGAGAGCGCCAAGAAGGAACACCTGGGCACCACCTGCGTTTGTGGAGCCCAGAGGACAAGGTTCGAGTGAAGTGGGGGAGAAGCAACAGAGCTGAGGAAGCTAAAGCAAGAGGGATCCAGTGACCGCTATGGCGAAGGGGCCATTACTGGGAGTCAGAGGCTGTAGGAGATTGGTGGAAGGCTTCAACTAGGTCCACAGGCTTTCCTGAAACCCATTTTAATGGAATGGTATGGGACAAGATCCAAATTGCAGAGGGTGAAGAAGAGAATAAAAACTTAGGAAACAGAGGCGTTCCCTATACCAAATCTAAGGAAACTTGGCTGAAAAAGAAAGAGGGATGAAAAGGTGGGGAATAAGGAGAAAGGGATGTGGCATAGAGCGAAAGTTAAGGGATTTTAAAGATGCAGTTTAGGTCCCTAATCAGTTGAGTTAATTCTAGGTGAGCCAGAACTAACCAGGTGAGATCTTTAAGAGGATCCAGGCCTCTGCTAAAGTTATAAACTTGAAACAGCAGAGGGACTCTCACCATTTCTGATTTCAGGAAGCTGTCAGGAATTCCACAACCATAGGGTACGAACTCCACAAACAACTTAGGGGGCTTAGAAGCTGATCCTTCCCTATTTAACTCTCAGCTCCTTCCTTACTCAGCCCAGCCAACACCTTGATTCAGCCTTACATTAACAGAGCAAAGAATTCATTAAGCCATGACTGGATCAACTAAATTGTCAGATAACACAAGTGTTGTCCTAATCCATTATTTTGTAGCAATCCACCGTGCAGCAATAAAATGAGTATAGCAGGCACGCTGACTTTTTTTTTTCCCCTCAAGGGATTTTTCTTCACTGTGACAGTCACATGGCATATGCGTTTAGGTTTACCCCGACATTTCAAGAAGTCTCAACCCTCTCCCTCTTGTTTTCCATGTTGTCCTATCTGGCTATCTTTGTTCTCATTTAATTACAATTTCATGAGGATACTTTTTAAACTATTTTTTTTTTTTTTAGAGAAGGTACATGATGCTGTGTTTTCAACATTCCTAAATGGACCAAATATCTTTATCTTTCCCTCAAATGTGCACTGTCTTTTAACTACCAGCCCTTTTTATTGAAAAGTCTGAACAGTGTTCCACCAATAATTTGTTTTTTTATTGAGAGGAGCAAAGCCATTACTTGAGTCATATTCTCTCTCTCTCTCAACTGTACTCCCTTTGTAGGTTTCTGTAAAAGCATTTCTCTTTATCCTTGCATTTGTAAATTTTTACCAGAAATTCTCCAATCATTCATCTCCTTCATTAGTCTCTCTGACACTTGGCAAGGCCATTTCACTTGAAAATTCTAGCTGCCTTCAGCTCACAGACGTGCAGAGTGAGTTAAGTCTGGTTTAACCCCCTAACTCCGTGTGTCCTTCTTCCTTGGTGGCATCCAGCGTCCCCACGGAAATGGGAGCTCTTGGATCTTTTCCCCACACATCACACTTTCTCCTCATGGTCTCTGTTTCCTTATATTTTTACCTTTATCATAAATTACTTGCTGGACTTTCCCAGATAAAAATTCAGTTTTGAGCAGGACACATCACTTTTTTTAAAACTTCCTTACTTGAGAGTCTAGAGTTGTTGGTAATTGCTGCTGTTTTGGTTTTATTTCCTAACTTTTTCCCTCTTTTTGAGTTGTTGATACAGGATGCACACACTGGCCAGACTGGAGATCGGCATCAGGGGACATCTGGTGCTGGACGGGTCAGCTGGGGTGCTGTCCATAGGGATTCTGGGGCCCTGTCGGCGTGAGCAGGAGAGTCCTCTCTCCACCGGCCACACAGGCAGGAGGGACGAGCTGAGTCCACAGGTGATTCTCTTCAAGGACAGCTGAGTATCCCTGAGGTCATCAGCGCCCTCTGCCTCATGGGGTCACACAGACAGCATGCACTTCCTCTCCACTGAAGAGAGTCCTTGTGCAAAGCTGGTGGCTGAGTCCTCATTCTGGGATGACTAATCCTGTTGTATGCAAAGAATCCTGCACCCACCCTCTGTTCTAAAACCCCAAATCCTCCCTCGTGTCTGAGATTCCCTCAGGGATCCACCTTCTTCAGTGGTCCCCAGCAGAGAGTGAGCAACTGGTGGAGGAAGTTTCCAGAAACAGAGAAGTGGTAGAATCTAGAGCAAATAAGGAAGGCTTAACCTCAGGCATGAAGAGGCACACACAGTCAGCAAACAGAAAAGACTGTCTTAGTAGCTGTGGCTCAGACAGGTGTGCAGGGCAGGGTATTCAAAGGGCGGAGCAAGGACCAGCACATCAGCACCACCTGGGAACTTACCAGAAATTCAAATCTTGGGCCCCACCCTAGATGCACTGAATCAGTGGGTGGAGCCCAGCTAAGTTTTAGCAAACCCCCCAGCAGATTCAGATACAGACTCGCATTTGAGAAACCACTGCTGTAGGAGACAGAACATTAGTTAATTTGAAAATACTTACAAATGACAAACTCTCTTTTATTCCATAAAATGGAGGTGAAGTCAGTACCTTCTAAGAGTGCCAAAATTCATAGGAGCTTGGAGGAAGCAGGAAAATATAGGAACAGTCAGTGAGAAAAAAGAAGACAGCACAAAGAAGGCTAAGATCCCAATCTTTGAGTGTGTGGTGACAGGAGTGAGTCTCAAATATGCAATTGTGATTTTCATTTCTTAGTCATGCTCTCAATAGCCCTGTCTCAGAAACAGAAAGCCAGGAGCATATTCAGAAGACACCCAGTTAATGATTTTGTCACTTATCAAGCTACAACATTCTTCATAAAATTCTATCATGAACTAAAGATTTTTGGAATTTTTAATTCTTGAACCAAATTTATGACTAATCCTGCCAAGAAAGATTCTTGAAACCTCTGCAAGCAGCCTTCCTTCACACAGATAAAGGAAAGTCTGAAGTCCGTACAACAGGTCTACCCAGGCCCAACAGCCCATCTGTGGCACAATTAAGATTAAACCCCTGGTCTCCTGATTCATTGCTCCTTCCCTCTCATTTACAACACTTCCCAAAGTTCTGCTAGTCCGAGACTAAAATTCATGTGGAGAAAGTCAGCATCTGCCTTTGTGAAGGTGAGTGGAGTCTGGTTCTAACTGGGCCTCTGGCTGAAAAGAGCAGCCAGTCTGCTGGACATAACACAGATCGGGCCCAGTCTCGGCCCTTCCATCTAGGGCCTTGCCCCCGTTCATCCATCGGGCCTACAAACTCCAGAGGTTCACCAAAGAACCACTCCATAAAGGTGGGTCCACACACAGGGAAGCCACAGTGGCTACCAGGCAGGGTCAGCAGGCAGATGGATCGTAGCAAGGGAGGCAGGTGGGAGCAAGAGGGTAAGTGAGAAACTATGAAGAGAGTCCACAAAAGAATAAAAAAAATCTAACCCCAGTCCTGAAGTTGTGGCTTAGAGAACCGTGCACAGGGGCTGATGGACATGCTGTCCTGGGGAGCACCATCGGGGGCTCCAATGGAGCTTCCCATTCACAAATGGTGGCTCTAGTCCCTCAGGAAGGCAGGTGAGAGGACCTTAGAGACCACGCTGGTGGGTTCCTGAGGGATGATGTGACCCCTCCCTAAGTCATTGTCAGGGTTTTATAAGTTAATGCACATAAGGGCTAAGACCTGAGTTCCTGCATTATAAATACTCACTTGGTGTCTGTTTTTTCCAGAGTTACTTGACATATGTCCACTCCAATGAACTAATATTCCCCTCCCACCTAACTCATTCAATGAGAATTGATTTATTTGCCAACCCATGAGATTCCCCGCTATCTCACCAAAAATCCCAGCATCCTCTCTCACAGAACAGCTCGAATCCCTCTCCCACAGTGTCCCAGCCAAGTCCTCTGATATGTCTGACAGTCCACTTCATGCTCCTTTTCATCACCAGCTTTTTATACATTCAACAGTGAAAGAGTGAGGATATAAGAGGGAAAAGGCAGAAGAGATATTTGTTCAGTTTACCAAGACGAAACCTGAGATTTGCAAATTGGTCCCCTTGTCCCATAAATCATCCCATTTCCCATATCTGATATCCATTCTAAACAACGTCATGTTCCCATTAGAGGTTTATACATTTACATTGAGAAGTCCATGCAGTCGGCCAGAGCCACGCTGGCCCAGGTAGACCAGGTGACCGCTCACCTTTGTACTCTGGCAAGCACACACACTCATAGCCATTAATGAGGTCCCTGCAGGTGGCTGCATTCAGGCAGGGGGCTGAGAGGCACTCGTTGTATTCCTCCTCACAGTAGAGGCCGTGGTAACCTGATGGACAGAATGAAAGACAAGGCGTCAAAGGCATTCCCTTGAAACCCACACTGGCCCCACCCACAAGGACAGTGGGTGAGGATTCATAGGAAAGAGGAGATGGTCTTGGTATCCAGCTGAAATGTTGTTTTCCAGGGGAATTATGATGCGTGTGTTCTGATCACTCTTGTCCAAGATCCTGGTCATCCACCAGAGGTCTTATTAATACATCATGGCCAACAATGTACTGATGACCTGGACGCCCGGACACCTTGTCCATGCAGCCACAGGCAACAGTGACAGGGAAGGACCTCCGGTCCAGGACGAATAGCTCCTCCCAGATATGTGAACCACATGCTTCCTCCAATCAATTGGAAAAACATAGCGAAACAAAGAGAATTTTATTAAAGGAAAAAAGCTGTAGAACTGTATCTTCTTTGTTCTTCAAGTCAAGGAAAGCAACTCAGCTAAAAAGGTTAAACTGGCATTTCTGATAAAATGTGGGGTATTTTTGTGTTTATTTAAAATGAGGGCTATCTAAATTATAAAATTTTAGATTTTATTTAAAATTTGTGGGCCTCCCCTGTGGTGCAGCAGTTGAGCGCTGGGTTGCAAAGCTGCTTGCAGCCTCTGCAGCGCCGGTTCGATCCCCGGCTGCTCCCCGGCCACCAGAGGAGGGTCCCACATGGCACGCAGACCTCTCCTGCTGCCCGCTGCTCCCCTCAGCAGTGTGTTTCGTCACTCTGCTTGCTCTGCTCCCCGCTCTGGCTCTGGTGAATTCTCTCACCCTCCCACGCTTCTGACTGTACCCAGTGCTTGTATAAATAAATAAATAAATAAATCTTTAAAAATAATTAAATAAATAAATAAATAAAATAAAATTTGTAACGGTTACATACACAGCAACAGCCATGAGGATAGAGACATTCTCCTGTTTGCAAAACAGGTGTTGATTCTAAAGGACAAGAAGACAGCACTCCTTGAGATTCACTCATGAATGTCATCCTGTTTTTAACTTTCAAAACAGATGTTACTGCCAATGCGCAGTGAATCGGGCCATGTTTGCCTGGCCCCATCCAAACAATGAGGAACATGTGAGCGCTTTCACAAATCACCCTGCCTGTGTTGGTTCTAGAACTCAGATAAGCAGAAAAAACAAACCCTTGCCTCAGTGGAAACTACAACTACTAGCTTTTTTTCCATCTTTCCAGCACACAGCCAACCCTCAAACTCAGACAGTCCAGCTAGGACGTGTTCATGTGCAGAGCTGCTTTTTCTTATGCCAATCACAAAAATAGGCTAAGCTCATGTTTGCAGCATTTTCAACTCAGTTGCCATTTCAGTTTGTTTTGAATTACTTCCCAAGTGGAGACCATGATAATGGCCCCTTGGCAAAAACCTCAAGCTACAAATGGTTTTTCCTTTTTTGTTGTTTTTTGTTTTTTCCATGGTTTTACCATGGTCTTCAATTCTTCCATCTTATACATTTTTGTAGCACTAGGGAAACATTGCTGATTATTCTTCATCAGATTATTTCAATCATCTAATTCAGAGGTTCTCATCGACAGCAATGTTGACCTCCAGAAACTAGATGGTAACATTAGACACATTTTCGGCTATCACAGGGAGAGTGAAGGGGCAGGGTTGCTACTGCATCTGGTATAAGGACAGAGTTAAGTATCCCATGATGCACAGGATGGTTCCCACCAACAAAAATCTATGCAGTAGATAAATTAACTGAGCCAGATGGAAAAAACCCACTCGGGACCAGGGATCAGCCAACTACTGCCATAGGCCAAATGCAACACTCTGTTTGCAAATAAAGATGTACTGAGACACAGCCACACCCATTCCTTATGTGGAGTCCATGGCTGCTTTCCCACCCCACGGCCTGATGAAGAGGTTGCTATGGTGCTTGCAAAGGTCATCTGACTTGCAAAGCCCCACATTTTTACTCTCTGGCCCCTTATAGAACAAGCTTTCTACCTACAGGTATAGATTCAACAGAAATCTTTCTTTTTACAAAAACTTTGGAGAGTTTCTCCCATTCCACAGGCTGCCTTTCACACCACTGCTTCCTTTCTCTGAGGCAGAGTAGCCTTTTAGTCTGATAGAATCCCAGTGGTTGGTTTTTGCTTTTGTTGCCTATGGTTTGGATATCATATTCAGGAAAGCACTGATGAGACCAATGTTATGAAGCTTCTCCCCTATGTTTTCTTCTGGCATTTTTATAGTTTCAGTTTCAACATTAAGTCTTTCATCCATTTGGAACTGATCTTTTATGAATGGGTCAGATAATAGATGTGGATAACAGGTATACAAAAAGATGTTCAACGTCATTAATCATTAGGGAAATGCAGTGCAAAACCACAAGGAGATACCAAGTCATATCTAGCAGGAGGGCCATTTATCAAAATATATATATACACAACAACACAGAAAATAACAACTGTTGGCAAAGATGTAGAGAATTAGGAACACTTGTGCGCTGTAGGTGGGATGGTAACATGGTGCAACTGCTATGGAAAACAGTGTAGAGATTCCTCAAAAAACAGAACTACCATATAATCTACATTCCCTCTACTGGGTATTTATTCAGTCTTAAAAAAGAAAGAAATCTTGTCATAGGTGAACCTTGAGGCCATAGACCAAGTGAAATAAGTCAGTCACAGAAGGACAAATGCTTTATGATCCCACTTACATGAGGTATCTCAACTAGACAAAGGCATTGAGGCAGAGGAGAATGGTGGCTGCCTGGGGCTGGGGGAAGTGGGTGAAGGAGGTGCTATTGAATGGATCTCTTGGAGGTGGTGTTGAATGAAGGTATACAACAGGCTAGTAATGGTCTAGGGAGATCTGGCTGTGACGGTGCATATATAGTTAACAATACTGTACTCTTCATTTGCTAACAGAATAGATTTCATGCCATGTGATTTTTATCAAAATTCAAAAACATAGATCTCCATAAGAGGGGGTAAGTATCTGTTGGTTTCTTCTCAGTGTGAAGCAATAAGGAGTAATTTTCCTTTGCATATGCTCTCCAGCAGATCTTTTAAAAACCAACTTGAAAGGATAAAACACAACCCTACGAACATCTTTGACCCCTGAATTGAGGTGTTATTTACACAGACAAAATCAAATACAACTTTCATGAAATCTCTCAGGACTGTTTTCATTGTTGAAAACTGTATCATTATCTTTTTCCTCTAGCAACAAGAAAAGCAAATAAGGAAGTTATTTTACAGAGATAATTAAGCTGGTGAGGTTTTTCTTCCTTGGGGGGAAAAAAAGATAAAGGTTTCATATTCTAAAACTGTTTCTTCAGAGACAGTAACATTTAAATGTCTTCATGGAAATGTCAAGGCACCCTTTACACTTGGTGCCAAAGAACCTAAATCGGACTGTTGGAGCAAAAAGACATTCCTTACAAAAGAGAAGGCTTCTGTGAGAAAGAGACTACCACCTCCTGCTGGTAATTAATTTGGGCAAACAAATTAGCTCAAGGCAGTGTGCCCAGGGGCTAGAAAAATTAGGCTAGTCCAAAGAAATTTTTTTTAAATGAAATAAAACACAAGAAGGGTCAGAGTGGTCCCTTTCAAGGCACTGATCTTCATCACAACCCCTCCTGTCCCTGCAAGCCTTGCTTCTGAGCATTCTGCTCCAATCCCTCCCTCAGAAAGGACAGAGCACAGCCCCGACTGGCAGCAGGTGTGAGCAAGTGCAGGTGGCTGCCACACGCAGGCTGGGCGAGCAGAAGACGCTTGAGCACAAGCAAGTCTGACCAAGGGACCAGCAGGTGTTCCCTGGTGGATCTGGTATATGCTTGATTTGGGACGCACCTGGTGGCTTGAACAGCATAGAAATCACACTTTAGTGATTAGTTCCTCGAGGGGGCATTAAAGTTTTTATCAAAGAACATGTTAAGGAGAAAGGAAGGGCCCGAGGTGGGAGCGACAAGCAGAGAACAAGATGTCTGTCTGATCAGGACATTGGGGGCGGGAGGACAGGAGGAATGTCCATGGTGAAGGCAGCATAGAAGCCTGGAGAGGAACGGAGGGCTGGGGGGCTGGTGAACAGGGCCAAGTCCTCCGAGAGCATGACCGACTAGATTACAAGACTAGAAGGTGGCTGGAGACCCTCAAAATCATGGCTCTTGATGGGACCGTACCAGCCTTGAGAGGGTGTTTTAGAAATGGGGGGTGCTTATCTCTGCTGAGGACTCTGAAGCAAGGAAGACACCAAATAACCATCCAAAATAAATATAAAATCAGCACTGGGTGCATGGAGGGGTCTGGGGTGCCAGGAGGAGGAGGCTACGCTTCCAGAGACAGAAGGAAGGGACAGCGAGCTGAGAGAGGGGCATGGAAGTATCAGGAGGTGAGAAGAGGGTGAGAAAATCTAAGGTAGGTAAACAGTGTGTGCAGAGAAGCCCCGTATTAAGGAGATGGACAGGGCAGGGTTTCTGCAGAGCAAAGGACCAAGAGCAAATAAGAGGCAGGCAGGTGCCAGGCCCAGTGATGCCCATCTGGAGGGGAGAGGCGACCAAGTCAGACGTGCCTCTCAGTTCCATCACGTGAGCCAGCTGCTTTGGAGGGTGGGGCAAGGCCTACAGGTATCAGTTCAGCGACTGTTGCAAGAGTCCCAGGGGAAAGGCGGCTACGTAGAAGGTAGTGGAGATGCCAGCTAGAGAATATGCCACAAGCCAAGGAAAAGTTACTAGGTAATGAATGGGATCTGGAAGGGTGCAGTGAGTCCTGGTCCCTGGCTTGTCTGACCCACAGAGGCTGTCATTCCTTCCTGAAGGAATGGGGGTGGGCGGTGGACTGGCATTTATTGAGGTCTCCTCTGTGGACCAAGCACTCTCAAATACAACATAATCGCATTAATAGGAAGGGGGTGGGGTGGGGTGGGATGAAAGGGAATAGGGAACCTCTTTCTGGAAGTAGATCTCAACAGAACAAAGGGAATGGACAGTTGCTCCCAGGAAAGCAGAAGCAATTAGAAGAAAAGATCGACAT